ACTGACCAGTACACAGAGCACTGATCGGTACATGTCTCACTGACCGGCACACAGAGCACTGATCGGTACATGTCTCACTGACCGGTACACTGTGCACTGACCGGTACACAGAGCACTGACCGGTACACAGTACACTGACTGGTACACTGCGCACTGACCGGTACACAGAGCACTGACCGGTACACAGAGCACTGACCGGTACACAGTGCACTGACCGGTACATGTCTCACTGACCGATACACATATTTTATATTTAAGTGTAAATTTTGTGAGCACTAAGTTGAGAAACTTGCGTTGGATGCTGAAACCTACAATTCCAATCTCAGCTCAAAGCTGTTCACATTTGTCCCCCTCCCCCTGGTTTTTAATAAACGAGAGGAAGAAGCTGTATACAGACAGTGGGTTCAAGCACCTGCCGGCTGTACCAAACTGAACGGATGGGGGTTGGTGGAGGAGTGACGCCTCCACATTTCTCACTCCCACTTCTGACCTGAAAATGCAGTTACTAAGGCAACTCGATACACTGTGAGATGTGGAAGGTTTCTCATTACCTGCAGACTGCGCAATCTATTGATCGTAGCAATTTTGACAAAGGGAAATATGAGCGAGCAGTTCCTTTGTTGTGATGTACTGCAGCAACTGTACATACCTCATTTAAAAGCATAGAACTAGCTCATTCATTCAACTCTTTTCAGCAAGAAGAAAAACATCTATTTTATTTCCTTTCACAGTTAAGGAGCCCAGACACTTTGCCTGTCATATCAAGATTATATTCAGATGATTAGTATTTTACCTTGGTGATATAGTCCATTTCCGATAAGTAATGACAGTCTTTAGATTCAAAAGTTTGCTCCCATGGCGTTCAAAGCATGGATTTTTAAAAATTGACAGGCAGGGAAAAAGATCACTGAGTCCAATTTGGAGCAGAGAGACAAAACATTGAACATTTCAATACAGTCACCATCCACACCGTCCCCATCAAACATTCCCAGGACAGGAACACCATGTGGTTAGATACAGCATAAACATCCCTTGACTCCTTTAAACAAAGTTCCCTCAACACAATCCCAATCAACATTCCCAGGACAGGTACAGCATGGGGCTAGATTCAGAGCAAAACAGCCTACTGTTTTTTTTATTTGGAAGCAGTGCCCTCTTAACATTGTCCCTAACAAACACTCCCAGGACAAGTACAGCACGGAGTTAGATACGAACTAAAGCTTACTTCACTCTTTTACAATGAAAAAAAAACCTCCCTACTCTTTAAACTGAAAGTAAAGCTTACTCTACACTGTTCTCAACAAACACAACTGGGACGGGGACAGCACAGAGTTTGATACACAGTAAAGCTCGGTCTACACTGTGCCCATCAAACACTTCTAGGACAGGGACAGTACGGGGTTAGATACAGAGTAAATCTCCTTCTAAATTGCGTCACACCTCACTGGGTGGCGCACTGGAAATCAATCCCCACTATTCTCAGATTCACCACAAAAGTTAAAAACTTTATTAAAGTATGCAAAATTCCCCAATTTGTCTCTCGCTTTTCCTTATTGCTAGGCCAGCATTTATGACCCATTCCTAATTGCCCAGAGGGTAGTTAAGAGTCAACCACATTGCTGTGGGTCTGAAATCACATGTAGACCAGACCAGGTAAGGATAGCAGTTTCCCTCCCTAAAGGACATTAGTGAACCAGATGGGTTTTTCCTGACAATTGACAATGTTCATGGTCATTGTTAGACACAATTCCAGTTTTCTTTTTATTGAATGCAAATTGCACCATCTGCTGTGGCAGGATTTGAACCCGGGCCCACAGAACACTACTTGGGTCTCTGAATTAACAGTCCAGTGATAATACCATTAGTCTGTCACTCCCCTTAAATGCAAGTTAACATAAAGTATGGACCAGGTTTCTGTACTTAACAGGAATGACTATTTAATACAAATATATAGACTCTAGCCACAAGACAAACAATTATGAACTATCAACAAATTACACCACCAGTTAAAACTCTAAGCCCCTTATAAAACCCACCCACATGCACATTACATACAGACACAGACAGACCAAAACGAATGGTGTTACGGATGGAGGGAAAGCTGGGTGAGCAGTTCAATGGTCCCTGCCACAGGGTTCACTGACATGATTCTTTTGGCTCTCAGGACTCGCTGCTCCCTGATCTTCCTTCAGCAGGTACTTTCTCTTGCTTGAAGGAGACCCAGAGTCACAGGGCCATTACTTATGAAGGCTCTGACTTATTGGTTACAGCAACTAGTGAGGGATAATAAATAGGCTTGCTTCAGGCTTCTGGTATGTTTTGCCACTGAGAGAAAGGCACCACCTCCTTTCCTGAAAATCTATTGGTTTCTGCCCATATCGTTCACACCCACAAGCTGTTCAGCTACCTGGAGACCAATCACATAGTTACTGGCAAGCAGAAGGACTTTTTCATCGACAATTGGTGACCATTCCACAGACCAAATAGCAACTTGTTGCTGGCTGAATCTCTCTTTGTAGATGCAGGGTGTACCAGCCAATCAGCTCCCCCTGCTGCTTGTGCAAACAGCTCTTACAATGAGTATTGGTAGCCTGCTTTGCTAACCTACAATAATCGCTTCCACAATCTGTGGTTTTTAAAACAGTCCTTAGCTCATTTCAGTCTACAAAAGATCCTTTCTTGTTAACCGAGTTAGATACAGATCAAAGCTTCTCTACACTGTCCCCCATCAAATACTCCCAGGACAGGGACAGTATGGGGTTGGATACAAAATAAAGCTCCCTCTACACTGTCCCCCATCAAACACTCCCAGGACAGGGACAGTATGAGGTTAGATACAGAGTAAAGCTCTCTCTACACTATCCCCCATCAAACACTCCCAGGACAGGGACAGCACGGTGTCGGATACAGAGTAAATCTCCCTCTACACTATCCCACATCAAACACTCCCAGGACAGGGACATCATGGGATTAGATACAGGGTAAAGCTCCCTCTGCGCTGTCCCCCATCAAACACTCCAAAAGCCAGGTACAGCAGCTTAAGTTTTAAAGAAATGTAGCAGCCAACCTCCACACAACATGATCCCACAAACAGTGACATGATAATGGCCAGAAACACTGTTGTGGTGATGTTGATTGAGTATTAAATATTGGCCTCAGGACACACGACATGATGCCAGTGTCCTTCTTCAAAATAGTGCAGAGTGGCTTTCATTACCATTTGGGAAAGCAGACAACATTTTCACTGAAGAGCCAGGATAATTTTTTAATTCATTAACTGAATGTGACAGTGCTGACAAGGTGAGCATTTCATGGACATCTTGAGGAATGCTTGAGGAGGACATGCCCTCATCTACATCAACGAACCTGAGGTTGAAAGGGTCACGAGCGAGATGTTGCTAGCAGTGGCAACAACCAACAATCTGTCCTGGACTTCCTACGTAGATGCGAAAGTCAAGAAGGCACAATAACGCCTCTTATTCCTCAAGAGGCTTAGAAAATTCAGCATGGCCATAAGGACCCTCACCAACCTTTACAGATGCACCACTGAAAGCATTCTATCTGGATGCATAATGGTTTGGTACAGCAACTGCTCTGGCCAGGACCGTTAAAAAACTACAGAAAGTTGTGCGCACAGCCCAGACCATCATGGAAACCAACATCCCATCCATGGACACCACCTACACTTCCTGTTGCCATGGAAAGGCAGCCAACATCAACAAAGACCCCTCCCACCCCAGTAATGCTCTCCTACAACTTCTTCGGTCAGGCAGAAGATACAGAAGCTTGAACACATGCACCAACAGGTTCAAGAACAGCTTCTTCCCTGCTGTTATTAGACTGTGGAATGGACCTCCCTAATTTGTGCACCTCCCATCCAGCTGTAACCCTGTATGCCTCTCTCTGTCTAAAGACCCCACGACCTGTATGTCCTTGTATATTATGATCTACCTGTATTGCTCACAAAACAAAACTTTTCACTGTACTCAAGTACGTGTACAACAGGTACAACAATAAATCAAATCAAATCATAATCCAAGGAGTCACAAATGTTGCTGAATGTAGTGCAACAATCAGCGAACTTCCCACTTACATTTACACTTACACTGGCATCCAACAACCACGATCATGTTACTTTGTACTTATTATGATTCCAAATGTGGACAGCTTGCACTTGGAACTACAACACCCCCACCTTCCCCCCACACCCCCACACCCACTTTCACCACAGCACTGGTTCCATTCCAACTTCAATATTGCTAGGGCTCCTCGGTGTTATAGTCAGTCAAATGCTGCCTTGATACCAAGGGCAGACCCTGTCAATTCACCACTGAAATTCCACTCTTTTGTTCGTGTTTGAAACAAGGCTATGATGGCCTTGCTGGAGCCAAACCTAGCATCAATGAACAGCTTATTGCTGTAGCACTGTTGGTGTCACTTACTAAGACTTTGTTAGTGATTAACAGTTGGCTAATTGTGAGATAATTTTTTGAATTGGATTAATCCTGCTCCTTGAGGCCAGGACATACCCATTCAAACAAAGCTAACATTTTCGGGAAGAATGGAAAGAGTGGGGGAGTAAGGGATAGTATTGCCTTGTGGATACTTAGTCTGTTCCCATGGGAATGTTGGCTAGGCCACAGCTTTTACCTGCACAGGCTGGATCAGGTGAACTGTTAACTGGTGGCAGCACTGAGGACTGATCAATCTTCTTACTTCCTGATTTGCCCTGTCAATGAAAATCAAATACAAAACATTACAAGCAGCAGTCTTGTTGCTGCACCTGTAATGTTCAACACTCGCCCACACTCCACCCTCCAATTGCATAAGCTATAACCGAACTGCATTAAAGCACCGACTGTACCCTCCCTCTGTCCTGGTCACCCCCTGCACCGACTGTACCCTCCCTCTGTCCTGGCCGCTCCCTGCACCGACTGTACCCTCCCTATGTCCTGGCCACTCCCTGCACCGACTGTACCCTCCCTCTGTACTGACCACTCCCTGCACCGACTGTACCCTCCCTCTGTCCTGGCCATTCCCTGCACCGACTGTACCCTCCCTCTGTCCTGACCACTCCCTGTAGCGACTGTACCCTCGTTCTGTCCTGGCCGCTCCCTGCACCGACTGTACCCTCCCTCTGTCCTGGCCGCTCCCTGCACTGACTGTCCCCTCCCTCTGTCCTGGCCACTCCCTGAGTGCCTGTAGCCTCCCTCTGTCCTGGCCACTCCCTGTAGCGACTGTATCCTCCCTCTGTCCTGGCCGTTCCCTGCACCAACTGTACCCTCCCTCTGTCCTGGCCAGTCCCTGCACCGACTGTACCCTCCCTCTGTCCTGGCCACTCCCTGTAGCAACTGTAGCCTCCCTCTGTCCTGGCCGCTCCCTGCACCGACTGTACCCACCCTCTGTCCTGGTCACCCCCTGCACTGACTGTACTCTCCCTCTGTCCTGGTCACCCCATGCACCGACTGTACCCTCCCTCTGTCCTGGCCACTCTCGGCACCGACTGTACCCACCCTCTGTCCTGGCCGCTCCCTGCACTGACTGTACTCTCCCTCTGTCCTGGCCACTCCCTGTAGCGACTGTACCCTCCCTCTGTCCTGGCCACTCGCTGCACCGACTGTACCCTCCCTCTGTCCTGGCCACTCCCTGCACCGACTGTACCTTCCCTCTGTCCTGGCCACTCCCTGTAGCCATGACCCTTACTTGATTTGTTTTGGCTGACGCAGTGTTGTCAGTGTTGGGCTGTGGGGTTGACTGCATGGCTGGGTGGAGGCTTGGAGGGGCTGATAGTAAGCTGAACCCCGTAGGCTTCCTCACATTTCCAGTGCTAGTGGGAGATGAAGGAGTCTGAGCCCTAGGATTCGGCATGTTGCAGGCAGAGTTGGACTGAGGGCTCTTGCGCACAAAAGCAATCTCCACCGTTCCCTCGGACCTGAAGCAGAGACAATGAAGACACCTGTCACAATGATCATGGTTTAAATCTCTCTGAAACAAGCCTGGGATAACACTACTGCCTTCCATCCAAAATATCAGCATTGTCAGATTCAGATTATAATTGGGAAAATATAGTAGAGAAAGTGTCGATGTAGGAAAAAATCCCACCAGGAACTGGTGATTAGTCATTCAACCCCCTGAAGGAGCTTGGCTATTGCAACAGCTCCCTCTCACTTGTACACTGCACCCAGCTACCCACCAGTAAAATGTACTTAGGTACTTCAGACGAGAATAATTAAACATGATTTGATACCAAGTCTCAAAAGGAGACATTAGGCTAGCTGAGTAGAACATTAGTCAAAGACAAAGGTTTTAGGGAACGGGTCTTAAAGGTGAAAGGGGTAGAACAAAGGAATTCCAGAGATTAGGGCTCAGGCCACCAAACACACGGCCACCAAAGGTACAGCATTAAAATCGAGGGACACACTATAGCGCCTCCTAGGGGAGGTGATGGCCTTGTGCTATTATCGCTGGACTGTTAATCCAGAGTTCCAGATAACATTCCGGGGGCACGGGTTCGAATCCTGCCACGGCAGATGGTGGAATTTGAATTCCATAAATATCTGGAATTAAGAATCTAATGATGACCATGAATCCATTGTCGATTGTCAGGAAAAACCCATCTGGTTCACTAATGTCCTTTAGGGAAGGAAACTGCCATCCTTACCTGGTCTGGCCTACATGTGACTCCAGACCCACAGGAATGTGGTTGACTCTTAACTGCCCTCTGGGCAATTAGGGATGGGCAATAAATGCTGCCCAGCCAGCGATGCCCTCATCCCATGAATGAATAAAGAAAAAAAAGCACAGAATTGGAGGAATGCAAAGAGTTCAAGGACGGTGGGCCTGGAAGGGGTTCCACTGACAGCGAGCTGGGTGTGGGGAGGATTCAAATCAAGGATGAGAATTTTAAAATTTAAAATGTTGCTTAATTAAGAGTCAGTGCAGATTACTGAGCACCGGAGTGAGAGGAAGAGGACTTGGGGCAAATTAGGACTTGGACAGAGGTTTGAGACAGTCACGAACGAGACCAGTAGGGAATCCAGAAGAAACCTCTTTAACAGAGAGTCGCTAAAATGTAGAATTTGCTACCTACAAGGAATCATATAAGGAAAATAGTACTGATGCACAAGGAAGGAAAGATTAGAAGGACATTTTGACAGGGTGAGGTAAACTCGGAGGAGGTTTGTATGCAGTATGAATCCCAACATGGACCAAAGGGCCAAATGGCCACTCTCTGTCCTGTAAAGTCTATGTATTTTAATGTAAATAGTTCAGCATTTACATGTGCTACGTGTGGGACCCAACACTGCTGCACGGTCTAGTCCTCTGCCCCCCTGCAATCCTCACCTTAGCTTCAGTCTGGTGAGAATGCTCTTGGCCTCTTCCTCTGTAACGCCAATCAGGGACTCCTTGTTTATGGACACCAGTTGGTCTCCAGGTTGCAATCTTCCATCCTGTGGGTGAGACAAACAGCATATTATGGGATGTGGAGCATGAGGATCCTCAGTTCTAAGCGAAGATCCCCAAAGAGCAGAAGGAAGCTGCATCAGGTGAAGCTGAACTTCAATCTGTGATCCCTTCAATGTGTAAATCCTTGCAGTTCTTTTCCAGCTCATTGTCCAGGTTAGGAAATGATTAAATGACACATTCCCTGTCTCTAGCAGTTATATTGCTGCAGACAGTTGCAATGGGATCTGTGCAGCAGGTCTACGTGGTGAGAGGGTGCAGGGCAGTGAGCAGATATAGGGGTGGGAGGGTGCTGGGCAGTGAGCAGATATAGGGGGAGAGAGGATACTGGGCAGTGATCAGATATGGGTGGTGACAGGGTGCTGGGCAGTGAGCAGATATGTGGATGAGAGGGTGCTAGGCAGTGAGCAGATATGGGGGTGGGAGAGTGCTGGGCAGTGATCAAACATGGGGGTGAGAGAGTGCTGGGCAGTGATCAGATATGGGTGGTGACAGGGTGCTGGGCAGTGAGCAGATATGGGGGAGAGAGGGTACTGGGCAGAGAGCAGATATGGGGTGAGAGGGTGCTGGGCAATGATCAGATATGGGAGTGGGAGGACGCTGGGCAGTGAGCAGATATGGGGGTGAAAGGGAGCTGGGCAGTGAGCAGATATGGGAGTGAGACAGTGCTGGGCTGTGATCACATATGGCTGGTGACAGGGTGCTGGGCAGAGAGCAGATATATTGGGAGAGGGTGCTGGGAAGTGAGCAGATATGGGGGGACAGAGTGCTGGGCACTGAGCAGATATGGTGGGAGAGGGTGCTGGGAAGTGAGCAGATATGGGGGAGAGGGTGCTGGGCAGTGAGCAGATATGGACGGAGAGGGTGCTGGGCAGTGAGCAGATATGGGGAGAGAGGGAGCCTATTAGTGACACAGGGATAGAGACCATTAACTCAGGAATGCAAGCAGGTTTCCAGTTTATCTTCTAATGTTGAAGTTGATCGTTCATTGGGAAGCCTGCTTGGCCTGTGGGTGTGTGGTAGAGGAAACCACTTGATAATCTCACAAGAACAGGCACCAGTTCTTTCAAACTAGATGCAATACAGATATCGGTTTGAGAGTTTTTGTGAGATAAGTACTGCTGTGATTGGTATTGGTGAGATTGGTACTGCTGTGATAGGTATTGGTGTGATAGGTATTGGCGTGATTGGTATTGGCGT